TGCGTCTACGGGGCTACGGACACGACTGCGAGAACTACGCCAACGTCGGCCTACTTACCAGGAGCCACCACCATCGGTCAACTTTCCACCTACTCTACCTATTGAGGTGCCATGGCCGAGCAACATTCGCATGATCACCGAGTGTCTCAATCCTGAGGGCGTGCAGTTCAAGAACATTGGCGAATTTGGCAGGTGCTCTTGTACATGCGACTGCTTCTTGGACGAGCGAATGTGGACGGCGCTTTGTATTGCACTCCAGATACCTGTAATCTGGATGGCATGAAACACAATGCAGGCTACATTATGCTGCTAAACGCGAGATCTACGCGGAGGCAGTACATCTACGTGAAAGCGCTCAATTGTGGATCGACCATGCGCTTTATAAGTCACTCGTGCACTCCGAAACGCAGCGTTCGTCGAGGTGTACAACAGATCATCCGTGAAAGGTCTCGTCAGGATGACCGAGAACGTGTACGCTGGCAGTCAAATTACTGTCGACTACGGCAACCAGACTTGGTTCCGCTACGCGTGCGACGAGTGCTGGACTGGCGAGGAGAGAAGTTAGGACGACGAAAGTAGCTGAATCCATTCGTTTAGACATGAACCCTCGTGCAGATTGTGTAGTACGGAATTTAAACAGCTTGACGAAATACATGGAAGCGGGTTGAAAGACGAAACTGCACTTCTGGAGGTCTAATTGTACAAATGTAAGTCGTCTTCACATTTCCTCGAGTAGAAGTGAAGCACAAGGCATTAAGAAGGACATACGCGTACCTCCGCTGGCCTGGTGATTAAAACTGCGAGTGCTGGACGGAAATGGATCATTCTCTCGTATATATCTGAAGTTATGGAAACCTCACGCGTAATAGATGCACTGCTATTATATTTACCGCTACAGAATTCCTTGTCGACACGTAAAGGACGTTTTGGAGCGCTGGGCTTAGTCGAAGCTGAGGGCAGGCCCAACTTCTCGAGGTCTGCCACTGGATCGTAGAATGGCTTCAAAACCGCGCTTCCTCTTGCGCCTACTAACCAAAATTTCTCGACCGCTGCTATCAACATGTGCAGTAGCACGAAGGGCAAATAACACGTGCACGCAGGTACCGAATACAAAGCAAAACTCGCACGGATACCACTGTCGCTCTACATCACCCCCCCCCCCCACGCTGCTCGACTGGTCCTGGCAACACGCACTTAGTTCTCTTAGGACCCCCTTTTTCAACCTGTATAGTCTCGTTTCAACAATGCGTTGAAAGTTTCGACAGGCTTGTTCGTAGAGGCGAAACCTGCAGGGGCTGCGAACACTTGCCTCGTCCCGAAGTGTCCAGTGATCCACTGACCGTACATGTACTGGGCGAATACATGTAGTGTAGAGTCCTCCATCCAGCGTTTTAAAATCGAACGCAGCATCTCCAAATAAGCACTTTCACTTCGTGCAAAGTGTAGATTGTATACATTCCTTAGTAGTGTAGCTGCCAAACCCGAGGGAAAACACTTGATTGCATACTGAACCTTTTTCATTACGTGGAAGAAGCCCATAAGGGACCGATACGCCGGGTGGCCCCCGAACACGGCGGCAAGCGCATTGCACTGCGCATTGTCTCCGTCTGCCATGACGTAGTGTACCTGAAGGT